CCCTGTGGTGCCGTACACTCTGTACACTGATGCTTCTTTAAAGGGTTTAGGTTTAGGATGTGTTTTGATGCAAAATGACCGAGTGGTTGCCTATTCCTCCAGACAGTTGAGACCACACGAGGAAAATTACCCTACTCATGATTTGGAGTTAGTGCAGTTGTGTTTGCTCTGAAGATATGGAGACACTACTTGTATGGATCTAAGTTTCAAATCTTCAGTGACCATAAGAGCCTGAAGTATTTATTTGATCAAAAAGAGCTTAATATGAGGCAGCGACGATGGATGGAATTTCTGAAGGATTATGACTTTGAATTACATTACCATCCGGGTAAGGCTAACGTGGTAGCTGCCGCCTTAAGTAGAAAGACTATTCATGCTGCACATTTGATGGTTCATGAATATCATTTGTGGAACAGTTTTCATGATGTTCCAGTAGATGTGATTGAACATCAAATGGCCGCACTCCAGGTAGCAGACTTTGAGAGCAAATTCTGGGAAGATCTCAGAGTCTCACAGCAGAGTGATGACTACTTAAGGAATATAAGGAAGGAGATAGTGGTAGGTAAGGCCCCAATTTTACCATCTCTGAGGACACAGTGATGAAGTATAAAGGTAGAGTTTGTGTACCTAATGATCCAAGATTGAGGAATATCCTTTTAGAAGAAGCTCATAGGAGCAAATATACAATTCATCCCGGTATAACTAAAATGTACCATGATTTGAAGCGAGGTTGGTGGTGGCCAGGAATGAAGAAAGATGTAACTGAATTTGTTTCTAGATGTTTAACGTGTCAGAAGATAAAGATAGAACATCAGAAGCCAGCTGGAACACTGCAACCGTTAGATATTCCAAAGTGGAAATGGGATGATATTTCCATGGATTTCATCACTGGACTGCCAAGAACACCCTCGAGTAAGGATGCTATTTGGGTGATAGTAGACCGACTCACCAAATCAGCTCACTTTTTGGCGATCAAGTTTACCTCTACATTAGAGAAATTTGCTGAGATATACATTAAGGAGATAGTTAGACTTCATGGTATACCCTCTAGAATTGTGTCAGATCGTGACCCAAGGTTCACTTCAAACTTTTGGGGTGCGCTACAGAAGGCTATGGGTACCAGACTGAGTTTTAGCACCGCATACCACCCCCAAACAGATGGACAAACAGAGAGGACGATCCAGACTTTGGAGGACATGTTGAGAGCTTGTGCCATTGAACTACCAGGTAGTTGGGATAATCATTTGCCATTAGCTGAATATAATAACAGCTATCATTCTAGTATTGGGATGGCGCCTTATGAGGCCTTGTATGGAAGGAAGTGTAGATCGCCTTTGTGTTGGACAGAATTAAGTGAGAGGAGTATCATTGGTCCAGAAATTGTAGAGCAGACCACCCAGAAGATTGCAATGATTAAGCAAAAATTGCTAAACGCTCAGAGCCGACAGAAGAGCTATGCTGATAAGAGGAGACGGCCGTTAGAGTTTGAAGTAGGAGATCATGTATTTTTGAAGGTTTCTCCAGTGACAGGCATTGGTAGATCCATTAAGGCAAAGAAATTGACACCTAGATTTATGGGCCCGTATGAGATCTTGGAGCGAATTGGATCTACTGCATATAGAGTTGCATTACCTCCACAGATTGCAGGTATCCATAATGTGTTCCACGTATCACAGTTGAAGAAGTACAACCCGGATCCCTCCCATGTTATTGAACCTGAAGAAGTAGAAGAATTGAGGGAGAATTTGACCTTTAGATCCGAACCGGAGCGAATTGAGGACTTTAAGGACAAACAACTACGCAATAAGACCATCCGACTCGTGAAGGTGATTTGGAAGGGTGGAGCCCTAGGTGATGCTACTTGGGAGACCGAGAGGAGAGTATGAGGCGAGATTATCCACATTTATTTGCTTAGGTACATAGTTTCTAAGCTTATCTATTAAATTTTGAGGACAAAATTTCTAAAAGGAGGGGAGAATTGTAACATCCTGATTTTTATATAATAAAGAAATTGTGGAATTTAGGTTTTGAGGAAAAAAAATGATAATAATAGGAATTTATATTATTTGAGGTTATTTAGAAATAATATTATGTTAGGTATTTAATTATGAATTTAAAAATTTAAATTTAAAACCACATAAGCAATATTTAGTTAAGATATAATACATAAATAATTTTTTTATGTGTGTGTTAAAAAAAAAAAGAGAAGGTAGAAGGAACAAAAAAAAGGGGGGTGGAAGGTTGTTGTTTCTAAGTCCCACATTGGTTAGATGAGGGAAGAGAAGAGGTGCCTTCATGTATAAAAAAAGGGGGTTGTGTTGCATTAGGAAGCATGAGAGGCTAAGATGCAATTTAGAGAAAATTGCAACTTTGGGCCCAAAGGTTTGAATAATTAAATTCAAACCTATAGTTTTTTTTTTAATATAATTTTGGGACTCACAATCCATTTTTATATTATTTTTCTCTCTTCCTCTCACGTTGCTCGGCGTTTTCTCGCAAGGGGGATTATTTTCTTTTTCTTCAGGTATGTTCTAACTTTCCTGTTTAGATTAGCATTTAAAAATTTATTTAATTACAAAATTAATTTTATAGTTATTTTCTAAATAATATTAGCTTTCTAGTGATATGATTATTTTGTAGGATAGAGTAAATATTTTGATTAGGATTTTTCTATAGGATAGTTAATCTGATGATATGATGGATTAAAAATATAGGTTAAAACTCTTAGGGATATAATAAATATTATAGAATATTTCTTGAGGTTGAAACTCATGTTTAAGAATTTTGAGTTAAAATCTAGATCTATATGGTTGAATTTATGTGGAATCTGAGATGTAGGGATAAACCTATGATTATTAAATATTTATTTAAGTATGAATAGGTATTTTTGAGGTTATAGAAAGGTGATTTGAGGCTTCAGGATAATTTTAAAATTTTAATTTATTTTTGGACGAATTTTTAGAATATAGAAGGATGAAATTGTGATACTAGAAGTGAATTGAGGATAAAAAAAAATAGTTCATTAGGGTACGAGAATTTTAGAAAAGAATTTGGGAAGTTAAATGAGGCATAAATCTTAAATTAGTGTTAATATGGATTATAGATCTAAGACTTTCTAACTCTTTAAATTAGAGTTATTTATTTTAATGTAAATTAATATATAGTATTGTGAAATAATTATGTAGATTATTGACAAAGATAGTGTGAAAAAGGAGTTGTGAAGGGGAACTTGTTATTCAAGACACAAGGTAACCATTATTAATGTGTTGTGATGAGTGTGTTTGTGAATGGTTATGTGTTGTTTTGTTGTTTGGAAAAATTATGAATTATTGAAAATAAATACTGTATATACTTGTTTGAAATTATTGCCAAGTGGGTTAAAAATTTATTTTTATTTATCATGATGAGATATTATTGTTCGGATATATTCCTGTTTGGATATTTGAATGATGCATGACTTGTCAGGGTATTTTAATGTATGGTGTTAATGGGAATTTCTGTTCGGTTAATTATTACCACGTGGTAAGCCCTCATTGGACCCAATGAGTGGCGTGTCGCTTGGTCCAACTCACCTTTGGCCCGTGTGATTTGGCGTCCGAGCATGGCGAAAGGAGGATATAAGGTGCAGTCATGCAATTAAATACTTGTTCGGTTTGTTTGAAAATATTGTTCGGTTAAATGTTTTGTGTGCCCACTTAGCAATCGCATGATTAGTTACATCCGCATGCATCATTACATATTAATTTTTGGTTACTGGACTTTTAAGTCTCATTCCCCGTGGTTAATTTTTTACAGGAGCGAGTCCGGCGAGAAAGCACCAGAGGTGTAACTATGGTGTATGAGACACCATCTTTTACGTTGCCTCTTATTTTGGATTATACAATGTATCTTGTGCCAACTTAGGACATATCTTCTTTGTGAAGCATGTAAACTCTAATCCTTTTTATTAAAAGTATTTATATGACCAAGAGGATTATGTCTGTCCCTCTTGATTCATGACCTGATTTAAATATCATGCATGAGGATCCTGTCTGTCCCTCATGGTTCTAATTGCTTTTTGAGATATTTAAGACCTTGGTATATGTCTTGGATGTATCATGGTAGAAATTTTTCTATGTAAGATAAGTATCATCAATGAAAAAAAATGATTTCTTGAATTATAATTTGCAAAATCGGTTAATTGAGGGTGTTACATGTTCCATCTTCAATCCTACATTTTTATAAGATTTTGTAACTTGCCAAATTTAATTATTAAATCAGGTTGCCTTGAATTTCTCAGTACAAAAAGTATAAATGTCTTATCTTCTATACAAAATCCTATTCACAACAGTTCAATTTATGACAAAGACTTCAATCAATTCATGTTAGGCATGCATGTATTATATACATATAAATATATATATATAATCCCTTTTTTATAAATATGCATGAGTGTTTGGGTAAGGTTAATTACTGTATACTCGTGGGTTCAAAATTCAAATACTTGAAAAATGAGTCGATTACAAAAGCTATATATACACACACACATTAATCTCAAAACTTACAGGAAAAAAAATAAACTCATTAGAAGAACTGCTGAGAAAAGGGATGCTAAGATCAGAATTGAGATCACTTCTAGAAAATGCATCAAACCAGCCGCATCCACACCATCGCACTTGAAATCTTTTAAACTCTCCCTTCTAGATCAGCTTTCCCCTAACATCCACAGTACTAGTGCTTTCTTCTTCCCTGTCGCCGCCACTGACAGCGGCAGCACCAGCTGCCGCGACCTCCTCTCTGATTTCTCCACCAAATCCCAACTTCTCCAGACCTCCCTTTCCCGACTGCTCACCTGTTTCTATCCCCTCGCTGGCCGCCTCTGGGGCGGCACCACCATCAACTGCAATGACGATGGCATGTTTTACGTTGAAGCGCGAACCCCCACCCTTCTCTCTCATTTCCTCAGCGACCCAGATCTCGACACTCTCGAACACTTCCTTCCTTCGTCCGACAAGCAAACCATGTTATTGTCAAACGGTTTCTTTATTCTTTGTCCAGTTCACAATGTTCGGTTGTGGTGGGACAGCCATAGGAATTTGCATCAGCCACAAGATTTCCGATCTAGCGACCTTCCTCACAATCCTTCAGAGCTGGACCGCCGCCTGTCGGGGAGCTGGAGATCCGTATGTTCCCGACTTAGGCCTCGCCTCTTCCCTTTTACCTCCACGAGAAATTCCGGTGATGTCCGCTTCTGTCAACATGGCAGTCGACAAGTTCACGACCAGACGGTTCGTTTCAGTCCTTCCATGGTGGAGCACTCAAGCGCGGAATAGAAACCGCTCTCGGAAAAGACAACGATCAGTTTCGCCCGTCGCGCGTCGAGGTAGTGCTTGCGTTGATTTGGAGATGCGCAGTGCTATCTCACAGTTCCAAAACGGGGTTGTTCAAGCGGTCGGCCATGTTCCAAGGCGTGAATCTCCGTCCCCGAATGGAGCCTCCGGTGCCGGCGACGGTGATCGGGAATCTCGTGTTGCCTTTCGTGGTGATGGTGGAGGAAGAGAAGGAGATGGAATTGCACGAGGTGGTGAAGAAGATGAGGAAAGGAATGAAGGAGTTCATAGAGAAGAAGGCAAGAAAGTTCAAAGAAGGAGATGGGGTTGAAGCAGTAATGGAGTTTCTGAAGGAGAGAGGAGAGATGATGAAGAAGAAGAAGGAGGAGACAGTGGTTTATAAGTGTTCGAGTTGGTGTAGGTCGGCATTGTACGACGTGGATTATGGGTGGGGGAACCCTGTGTGGATGTCGAGTGTGAACAAGATGGTGAGCAATACAGTGGCTTTGCTGGATTCCAGAGATGGTGGGGTTGAAGCCCTGGTGACTCTGGACGAGCAAGAGATGAAGATCTTTGAACATCATCAAGAGATACTTCATTATGCTCAGCTTAATCCCAGCATGGTTCTTCCACCTTCTAAGCCTAAACCTTTTATCAGTGCATCACTGTGATGTTGTGATTATTCCTTGTTTGTCATTTTAATCTCATATGAATTATTATTATGATTATTAAAGATCCTAGCACTCTCAAATTAGGATCTTCTGTGATATATCTAACGTTTCCAGTAATTCTAAAACTTGAATGCCACATTAATCGGCATCGTCTTGATCAAATTTCAGCCACATGAAAGTTTCCCTCAACCAGATTTAACCAAACTCTCTGCTTTGATCGTTTGTAAACATTAGTTTGAGATGATGAGCTAAACTCATGTAACTAATAATAAAAAGCTCATCACTAATGCATAATATACTATATTTCGTGTAGTAGTAATAGATCATCTTCGCGTCGGGTCGAAATAGAGCTGTAACAAAAATTCGTGGATTGCGGCGTATGATCCCATGCCATAATACACGCACACACACATATATTTCCACTCGTTTCGCAACTTGGCTTTCTTTTCCGCTTCTTCTATCATCGGTTGTACTTTTTTCTAGAGGAACATGCAACATCTTGATCTTTAAAATATGATTAGTTGTAGATTAATTAAAGGGTTTAATCCCATTCTCTGGTGGGAAAGGGTTAACACGAAAGAGAATCAGACCTCCTGATCGCATCCGGCTGGTTGCGTGCAAGGAAGAAGAGGTGAGCATCCAACCGCGAACAGTGACCGAGGCAGTGCCATAGGCTTCCAGCGCCGGCCATAAGGCAAAGTTGATTAGTCAAACGAGATAACGTGTCCGCTGACAGATGTGAATTTGACATGATCATTCGAAGTTGAGCACATCAAAGTTTTTCCCTCAACCATATTTAACCAAACTCTCTGCACATAGATCTCTCTCTCTCTCTCTCTCTCTCTCTCTCTCTCTCTCTCTCTCTCTCGGTCAGAGCATATCCTTGATCGTTATTTGTTAACATTAGTTTGAGATGAGTTAAACTATTCATAACAATATATATAAAGCCATACTATTTTGGATTTGAATTCTTTCTTTGTAGAAATGCGCTACTTTTTTAATTCGAGTAAAGGGTAAGTTTCATTTCTCTGGAGTAAGCTGTACAAGCAAAAGGCAAAACAGGAAAAAGCAAAGAAGTTACAGGCTATACATCAGAAAATTACACCAGAGATTTTTAAGTAGCAAATCTAAGAGTATGGATTGTGAGTGCTCTAACATGAGATAGAATAATATCTTCAGTGACATTACAGAATCATCATTGAGAAGTCGACGATTCCTAATTTCCAACATATGATGCTGATCGACCCCAGCCTTCCATGAATTATCAAGCTGAGGCAAATATTAGCCAGCAATTAATGTCCTTACCGTAAAAGTCAATGTACAAATCACTAGGTAGGACTTTTCTCCAAGCATTAGCAGCTAAAGAACATTCTTTAAGAACATGATTAATATTCTCAACTGGCGCATGGCAAAAGGAACATTGTTTATTTTGTGCTATCCCTCTTCGATATCTCTCTGAGTTGGTAAGGAGTCGCGTCCTTTAACTATAAGCCATAAGAATGTTTTTACTCTTTGAGCAACAGGAAGCTTCCAGATGTTGGTCCAGATAGCATCAGATTCATTCCAATCCAAAAGGGACGCAATATAAGCCGATCTAACAGGAAATTCATCATTTGCATTCAGATTTCAGGTACAAGTTGGTGATGTAGGTGTGTTCAAACTGATTGAGGCTTTAGCAATGCCGTCTATAACGTCTTTTGGCAGTAAATGCATGAAAGCATTCCATTTCCACTGTCCTTCATCATCTAAATAATCAGAGATTGTCTTCTGAAGCTCTTGCTCAGAAATTTCAGCATAAGATAGATGTTTTAAATGTCCTAAATCACCAATCCAAAAATCAAACCAAAACTTGATTTTTCCGACCATCACCCAGTTGCCATTTTATATTTATCACAGTGTCCAGCCAAATACGAGCAATATGCTTCCAGAAATATGAATATTTATGCCTACTTACATCCTGATTGATGTCTTCATTAATTCTATATTTGCCTTTTAGCACTCGCACCCATGAGAGCTTAGTTCAGAAACAATTTTATAAACCAGTTTGGAGAGGGAAGCTTTGTTTTGGGCTTCTAGATTAATGAGGCCGCATCCACCACGTGTCAACGGTTGACATAGGTCACTCCACTTAATTAAGCTAACGCTACGAAGCTGATCTGAAAAATGATGAAATTAGCATCAAAATTTACATAATTTAAATAAGATAAGAAGTTAACACGCATATCTAGAGAATCTATGACTTATGACTCCTCAAATACTTCGAGTGTAGGTAAACTCATAACACATCAGGCTCTCAATTTTTAGAGAATGCAGAGATAATAGAGAGAAATAAAAGAGTTGTGTATGTTGGTTATTGACTGATTGCATTATATTGATTATATTAATAACCGTCTTAATAATTAATTAATTAATGCTTCATTAACTTTAATTCAATCAATTAAGAAATAGAGAATAATTGACTACTATAAGGTTATAGGTTGGGTCTCTGTACATTGAGTTCACTTATATAACCCACCTATATATCACAATCCACACAAAATCATAATGATCAATCTATAAATCAATCTATTTTAGACTCACATTACAAAAAAAATGCTGCAATGGCCACAGATAATTGCCACGTTTTTTTCTTAAACTGTTGGATAATCCCACATTTTTACTAAAAAACCATTGCTGTCAATTTTCTTTTTTGAAAAAAGAACTAAAGCCAAGATTTTTCAAAAACTGTGGCTTATTGAGCCACGTTTTATGTGAAAAACAAGGCTCACATGGTCTTGTCACAAACCAAGCCACGATTCTCAGAAATTATGGCTCGATTTCTTCTTATTTATACCCACCCATATTATTTTCAACTCCGCGCAGTATATTCGGCATCTTGAGGTACACATGCTTCATGTCTTTCCCTCTTCTTTTTATTTTTTCTGTTTATTTTATATATGTTTTTATATTTTATATATTTTATTATATATTTTTAGGAGTTAAAAAATTCTCAAAGTCATTATAAATTTGACATTTCGCTGCACATTTGAGGTAATTTATTTTTTATTTTATGTTATATTTCGTTTTTTAATTATATAAAATTTTATGTATGATATTTATTATTTTGTTCTTAATATACATTGAATATCTATGAATAGAATAAGATAAAATTAGATATTTAATTTTTTAGGATGAAATGTGACATGAATTTATGTTGTAGTATTTTATTAGGTTTAAATTTTTTATTATAAAATTTTATTTTTATATAGGATAATTTAAATGTTACATTAATGTTGAAATTAAATTTATTTGTTGTGCTTAAATTTATGTTGTGCATGATGAGATTTTTATTTTCATTTTTTATATTCATTTAAATAATAAAAAATATGTTGAAATTTTATGCTTAAATATAATAAATTATAAATATTTTTTATTTTATATAGAAAATGGATAAATTATGGATATCCAATATTTGCAATACAAGAGAATAAATGAATGGTTTGGAAGGATTTTTAAATTTTACTTTTACAAATAGTGCTGTTGAAGGTAAAATAATTTATCCTTGCCCTAAGTGTAATTTTAATGGAATGTTCAAGAGGAGGTTCGAAAACATTTAATTGCTAAACCATTCCTAGATATATATGTTGGGTTTTGCATGGTGAAAATTGTGAATTTCGAGTAGCTTCTTCTAGTGGCCCAGTTAACGTAGGAAATAGAGAACAAGAAAATGAGGCTAGTGATCATATTCATAAATTAGTTTGTGATACTTTTGGTGTGCAAGAAGAACATGAAACATCAATTCAAATTGAGGATTCATCACAAAATCAAAATCAAAGGATGAATAATGACACCAAAGAATTTTTTGAATAGCTAGGTACAAGATGGGCAAGAGCAATTATATGATGGGTGTGAAAAATATTCAAAATTACCATTTTTAATTAGATTGTACCACATTAAATGCTTGTGTGGTATAAGCAACAAAGCTTTATCTATGATTCTGGAATTATTGGCAGATGCCTTTCCATTTGTTAAAATTTTCTCTTCATTTTATGAAGCAAAAAAGACTATTATCAAGTTAGGATTGGAATATAAAAAAATAGACATTTGTCCAAATGATTGATTGTATGTTATATTGGGGAGAAGATGACAAAAGAAAAACCTGTAAAACGTGCAATACATCAAGATGGAAATTGATATCCAAAGAGAAAAAAACAAGCAAAAAAACCAATGAAAATTTTGAGATACTTTCCATTAAAGCCATAATTGCAATGACTGTTTATGTCATCTAAAATTGCAAAGCATATAAGGTGGCATTTTGATGAAATAATGTTGATCGTTTGATGATGCATCCGAGGGATTTTGAAGCATGAAAAAATTTTGACATGAATTATCAAAATTTTGCTTTAAAACCTTGAAATGCACTATTGGCATTAGCTACTAATGGTTTCAATCCTTTTAAAACTTTGAGTAGGTGTTATAGTATCTGGCTAGTGGTTCTTATGCCTTATAATCTCCCCCTATGGATGTGTATGAAACAGGGTTCATTCATACTTTCAATGATAATTCCTAGATGAAAAGCTCCAGGAAATGACATTAATGTGTATCTGCAACCCTTAATTCAAGAACTTTTAGATTTGTGGAATGTTGGAGTAGAAATATATGATTCTTATTCCAATAAAATGTTTAGAATGCATGTAGCACTGATGTGGACAATTACTGATTTTCCTGGTCTTGGGACATTGTCTAGATGAAATGTTCATACAAGATTAGCATGTCCGACTTGTAATTTTGATTGTTCGTCATTTCAATTATCTAATAGTTGAAAATGGTGTTTTATGGGTCATCGACGCTTTTTAAATGGTATACACAAATTTAGGTTGGCTCATGCTTGATTTGATGGAAAATCAAAATTGAGAATGCCACTTAAGGTTCAATCAGGACGAGAAATTTTAAGCCAAGTTGAATGTATTGATGTGATTTTTAGCAAGGGCAATGATGAAAGATTTAAAAAAAGGGCTGAA